AAATGAAAGATTGTGTAGACTGATAATTGTATTATGGGGGTCAGCCTGACTAGATATCCTGGGAGATGGTGGACGGACCGGGTCCGTAGGGAACCCTACCCGGGATTGTGGTTTCACATGCCGGACGGGGTATGGAGATCTTATGGTTTTGGCGTCCATACCGGACGGGGTATGGGGACGGCCCGTTTCACTCTCATACCGGACGGGGTATTGAGGTTTATGGTTTTGGCGCCCATACCGGACGGGGTATGGGGACGGCCCGTTTCACCCTCATACCGGACGGGGTATTGAGGTTCATGGTTTTGGCGCCCATACCGGACGGAGTATGGGGACGGTCCTGGAAACTGATTATGAATGTTAAAGGTTAACGGGTAGCGGAACCCCTATGGACCCCCACGGATACTAGTAGGCTGGTAAATGAGAAAAGGATATGTTGTACAATGATTGAATTACAAGAGGCGTGATAAGTGTTATGTTTTACAGCTTATATTATTCAATGATTATGATAATGTTATTGTTTTTCTTATATTGTTTTCATAAATTCCACCGAGGTAAGTGGATGGTAAAGGTTTTCATGTTAATAAACGAGTTTGTTGTAAATTATGCTCCATTGGTCTTTTTGTGTTTTTCTACCCACCTTTACCTCCGTGACGGTGAGATATCGTGATGTTCTTACTGGGCTAGTGTAGCTCACTCCTTATTTAACCATTTCAGATCAGGAAGACATGGTTCCCGAGCCCGTTCCGCAGGAGGACGACGAAGGGGATGCCTAAAGACTCTGTAGTCATACTCATAGTTTTATTTTCGAGTTTCTCTCTTAGTTAGTTTAATCTTTTATATTTTAAGTACGTTTTTGGTTTTTCGTGTAAGGGATGTTAACTGAAATTTTGATCTCGCTTTCGCATTTGATATATTTAAATACTCATTTCATTTTAATATTTCCGGGGCCGTTACAGATCATCACTATGTTATTGACAGAAAATAATACATATATATCTTTGTATATGTATATTATGGTTACTCATGTTTTATTGTGAACTCAGTTTTCTGAATTCTGAGTATTTGTTCTTAACTCTTGAGCTTGTCATGATAAAGAAGAATGGTTACAAGTTGATGGGAAAAAATGGATTTGATGAAAGTGCTGATATCAATACTTCAACTTGGAAACTTTAATGTGGCACATGATGAAACATGGGTAGATCCTGAATTGAAATGAGAGGCTTTCATCTTAATATGGTGCCCTGAATAAAAAGATATATAGGATAAAATAGTATCAATGGGTAAGCCGATGCCAATTGTTCATTGCCTTTACTTTCTGATATCAGGTCTGGATGAATGATGTGCTTATGAAATGCATACAAACTCACAGTGGTGCCGTTTTTGCTACTGATATGGATGGAAAATGGCTGTTCACTGGAGGGTGGGACAAGACTATCAATGTGCAGGTACGTAGAGAATTATAAATTATCTATGTGTAGATGTCAATCTATTCAACTTAAAACCACACATTTGTTTAGAATGTACAAGCTGATATGTCTTTTTAGGTAGTGTTTGGCATGCAAATTATAGAGAGCAGAACAATAAAGAAAAGATACACAGAACTACATAAAAATAGTGAGGTGTGAGTATATGATCCTGGACAGAATAAATATGTTATGTTTTGACAAAATATTATATATAATTACCTACTACACAGAGAATGTCTGAGGTTAGTTTATGTGTTTTTAAGAGTTCTAAATTCAATTTTACATAGCTTTAAACTATAAACTAATCTAAATTTAATTAATTAATAAACTTATTTAGCAAAAATATAAATTAATAAACTGAATAAAATTATAGTTTTTGCAAAATTAATAATTGATGAAATAGTAACTGACAACTTAAAAATAAATTTAAGCTTAATTTGATTAATATTTTTTTATGAATTAATAAGTAAATAAATTGAAATATAATTTCAAAAGATAAGTAAAAAAATAATAAGAGAGCATGAAGTGAGATATGGAAGTGATGGAGGAGGAATAGGGCAATTTTGGAAGTAATTTGTGTTTTGAGATGGTACAAAAATAGTACCACCATTTTTTAGGGACAAATTTGTTCCTTGAAAATCTATTTTTTGTAACATTCAGTTCTTTCTATGTTGTTACTGAACATGGAATTAATACTACTTTGTAGAGTTAAGTCCTGTAATTTGAGAAAACCGAGCTTGAGAGTTTTTTTCAATTACAGTTCTAGCTTCACTTTTGAGATTCGGTAGTATTTTGTTTTGACTTACTTTTCATTGAAAGTTTACATGTATTCCCCTTCTTCATTAGCTAATCGACATGGGATTGATTAATAGGAATTAAAAGGAGATGAATTCCAACTAGAGGCAACACCTATTGGATCCATCTCCTGTGGTTCTGTCATCACAACTTTGTTGTACGTTCAAGGAAAGCTTTTTGTTGGATGTGCTGATAGGACTGTCAAGGTACTTATATATTCTTCTGTTAATTTTTACCAAAATATGGCTTTTGAGCTTGTTAGAGGCCCAGACGCCGAAGATTCAACATTTACGTGAAGCTGAACACAAAATTTTATTTTGCTGTCTTCGTAGCTGGTATCATCTTTGAGACCCGATCACACCTAAGAATATTTTTCTAGATTAGTTCTACCTACCATTCCTCTTAATACCAGCGTGCCCCTTCCATTGTCCTTATATAATATGCTTTGGTGTTGCAAATGCAAGACTTCTACATACTAGGACGATGTAATATAGTAGTTCTGAAAAATCCAACTTATAGATCCACCTAGCTCGAGTTTTTGGAGCGTATACGGGAAAGATGAATTCAAAGCTAAACTTTTTAAATAAATTTGAAAGGTTTTTGTACAACTGATCGCAGAGGGTGCAGGTGTTATGAATCCTGGAAAAGGTGGGATGTTAAATTCTGAGGATTGATTTCTGTTTGAAGCATCTGCAGCCTTCTGTTGTTTCCACCATGATGAACTGCCAGGTTACAAAATCTTTTATTTGTTTTTTTTTTTCAGGTATACTATTATGGAAAGTGATCGAGAATTTCACCGAAATTTTGAGTATATTAAAAATATATATATTTCTTAGAAGTTTGATTTTCTATAATTACATACATCTGTATACACTATACTTGAAGACAAAGATAATGTTTAAAAATTGAAAGAGACAATACAAAAGGAGTTTAAAAATAATGTTTTAAGAAGATTATTCACAGTATATTTCTCTATACACTTGTGTATATTTATGTTTTTAAGAAAATAAAAGTTAGACAGTAGTTTTATATACCAAATCAGAGGGTGGGTGGGAGTCCTTCGGCTCTAAAACTCAGAAGAGTTTCAATCACAAGCAATTTGGCAATTGGCAGACATGGCTTCCATCAAGCTGGATGTAGTAGATTTAAAGCAGTTGATTTGGCCAATGTACATACAATGTGTATAAATTTTTAAGATTTGCTGTTACTTAGTGATATTTTTGGATCTTTTGTTATAAGTACAGTTATTATACTTCTGAAATTATAGAAAGAACTTCTGTTATTTTAGAAAGATTGTAAGGGAAACATTTTGAATAAATTCATAATTTGCTTTATGTTCTATATGTTCATGCTTGTCCTTTTTAAGTATTAAGAAAAAAATTATTTTTACGCGACTTTGTTGGAAAAATATATTTGAGTTCATCAATGTTTATAAAAGAAATTGGAACTTAGTGGGAAATAGCAATGTTTATAAACCAATTGAATTATAAGATGTTTGAACTGAACCGAATCGGAATAATAACAAAATCGATCTTTTCAATCAATTTAGTTTGAATCAGTTTAATTGGTAATATGATCACTAATTCAAAATTGGACAGTGAAGTTATTTTTTTAAAAAAAAAGTTCAAAGAATTAATCTTACTCGAAAAAAAAAAGGTATTTGAAATACTTATTTTTTCATTTTCAATTAAAAAAGGGGGCTCAAATTATTTTACCCACATGGATGTTTTATATGGAAAAGAAAAAAATTCTAATTATTTATTTAGAATTTTTTTTTTATATTGTAGAGAGTAGTAATTATGATTGATTCGATATAAAAGAAAGAATAGTATATAGTTTTTTATTGGAAATTTTTTTAAAAAAATTGTCAAATTTTGTTACGACTCTTTATAAAAAATATTCAATCAATTAGAATAAAAGTTAAAGAAAGTATTTATATTCACCTTATTCTTTATATATATGTACATCAAAAATCAGTAGACTATATTTTTAACTTGTACCGATGAGAATTTGACTATACGAGAAAGTGAGCAAAAGCTGCGGAATTTACTTATTCTTGCATGTATCAAAAAACCCAATAATTTTTTTTTTTTCAATAATATAACTTAAGTTATTTTTTCAATTAAATGAAAATAGATATATACGAAATAATTAATGATTAATATTTTTATTTTTCTATGTAAATATAGAAAATTATATATTGTATAATTTTTAAGTATATAAAAAAGTTGGAGACATATATATATATATATCATGTGCTCATATGATATGATAATTGATATAACACACAATTTATAAATATTAAAGAGTTAATGTTATTATTACACTTTCCATTTGGTTTATGTACTATTTTTTTCAATTCTATTTTAAATATATTGAAGTTAAATGTTGGGCTGTTGTCGCGGGAACTTCTTTACGCGACACTG